AAATCAACACTTTTCTTATTTTTTCCTCTCGACATGGACGTCCTGTCGTCCACGGCGATAATCCATTGCAAAAAATACCACAAAGAGCACACGCGCGCGTTCATGTCAGAATCCTACCGAACACAGTGTGTTTGCAAGCATTTCAACATAAAAACATAAAAAAAACCAATGTTTTTTCACAAAAATTGTACAACTTTCCCGCCCGGGCTCTCTTGCTGAAATCATAGGAAAACCATAGGAATCTTAAGAGTTCTGTCAAATCCAGCGATTTCACGTCATCGCGCGGTGCACTCGCGATGCTCTGTCATGCACCCAGGCCGCGAATCCTGTGCAAAAAATACCACAAAGAGCACACTCGCGCGTTCATGTCAGAATCCTACCGAACACCGTGTGTTTGCAAGCATTTCAACATAAAAACATCAAAAACCCAATGCTTTTTCACAAAAATGCTTTGGGGTGTCCTGTCAGACCGTCGGGCTTCCTCCGGCCACCTCTGGCTTCCTGCGGTGTACCAGGCCATTCTCGACTCGTCTGGCAATGCGTGCGCGGCATTCAACACGCGCTCGCCAGTTCCCGTCGGCAACCGCCATCGCGGCCGCATCAGCTGTACCAAACCGGCTGGCCGGTGTGACTTCGGCCCCCAGTTGTGCCAGCTTTGCTTCTTATGTTGTGGGAGGGCGGGTGGGACTGGGCATGCCATGCTTGACTCGCTCGAGCTGGCTAGCTTGACTCCTACTCCTACTCCTACTCCTACTCCTTCTCCTCTTCCTTCCCGCCTCGGTCCTGGATCCTCCCTCCCCTCCTCTCCTCTTCACCCTCTACACTCCTCTTTCGTTCGTCCCGCCCCGGCGCCAGCGCCACACCCGCGGGGTCTCCCGAGGTACCCCTCGCCGGCGCTGGTTCCCTGCAGCTCCTTCTGGGCGGCGCAGAACTCGTCGGTGACGGAATTGCTAGAGAGCAGGGTCGGGAACCTGGCTGCCAGGAGGAGGAGGAGGAGGAGGAGGAGGCAGGGAGGGAGGGAGGGAGGGGGGAGGGAGGGAGGAGGGAGGGAGTAGGAAAGACTGCGTGTTTGGACTGCGTGGTACAAGGGGGGCCCTCGGGGCAGGTCCACCCCGTTGCAAGCGCCAACCACCCTGGAGGGCCAACGATCGCCTCTGGCGGGACGTCACGGGACAACCAGCCATGTCACCCCAGCCTGGCCCGAGAGGAGGGGGAGGGAGAGGAAGGAGGGAGTAGGGGGGGAGAAGGGAGGAAAGAGGACAAGGGGGAGGGAGAGGGGGAGGGGCGGGGGCGGGGGAGGGGGGGGGAGAAGAGGGAGGAGGAGGAGCAGGAGGAGGAGGAGGGAGGAGGAGGAGGAGGAGGAGGAGGAGGAGGGGAGGACGAGGACGAGGAGAAGGAGGAGGAGGAGGAGGAGGAGGAGGAGGAGCGCGAGCACGAGCACGAGGAGGAGGGAGGAACAGGAGGGGCGGAGGGCTGGGCAGCAGCGGCGGCGGGAGCAGCGGCGGCTTCGGGGGCGGGGGCGGCGGCGGCGCACGTGCTCGCGTCCGGCTTGGCGTTCTCGATCGTCTGGCCGTTCTGCGTGTAGAATCGGCGCACCTCTCCGGGAGCGGCGGCGCGCGCTGGGGGCCTCGGGGCCCCCTCAACGGGGGCGTGGCCAAACGGGAGCGCAGGCTCTTCCATACACGCCGTCGCGCACAGTAGGGATGCACGGTAGAGATGCAGGGGCCCTGGAAGGCCACGTCGGCACTCTTCGAGCGGGGCGCGGCCAGCCAAAGGGACCAAAGATAGGTCGGAGGGGGAAGGATGCAGGGATAGCCTTGGACAATCGCTCGTCACTACTATCCGCGTTGGCTGTGACTGTGCCCCCCGTTTACGGAGCCCAGGCCAAATCGGTGGCGACCGATCTCGAGGGTAGCGACCAGACAAATCTGGCATCCAATGATTACCCGTCGGTCGGATGAAGTAGATAAAAACATGGAGCAGGAAGGCGGACAAAGCAGATTTGGGCTCAGGCCTTGCCAGAATAATAAACAAGCACAGCAAACGCAAATCGACTCTTGAAGTAGGAAGGCGCGTGAACTAGAATGGGATCAGGGAAATCCAAAAATGCATTAGTAGCCTCCTAGATGGGGTCGAAGGATCGCGCCGCATCGCCGATACATCGGCGATGCATCGCCGATGCATCGGCCATGCACTGGCGACGTCGGCGATGCATCGGCGCCATCGGCGTGGAGAAAATCGGGCCTCACATCGAGCCGCATCGCTGATGCATCGCCGGTGCATCGGCGATGCGGCGAGATCCTCCGACCCCGCCTGCTCCGACCCCATCTAGGAGGCCTAGGTGCATTCTGTCAACCACTGGCGTGTAGAGAAGACCTGCGCCGCCAAGGTCCCGCGACGTCTTGGTCGTGGCCAGCCTGTTCCTTCGGAGACCCCAAACGAAACGGTGCGGTGACAGACCGTGCGGTGTGGTCACCGCAGGGTCCGTCCCGTCACTGACTCACCGCACGGTGTGGTCACCACCCCGCTTGGGGGCCCCCGAGCCTCTCGAGCCGGGCCGCCCCCCCCGGGGGCTGCGCCGCGGCAACCTGCCGAGAGGCCGGCGCGGCCGCCTCGGGTTGGGGCCCGCGGCGCGCAGGCCCTGCCCTGGCTCGTGAGCGTTGTCTAGTTCGGCGTCTCGACGGTGGGCAGAAGGGGGGGGAAGGGGGGGAAGGGGGGGGGTTCTGGCTCCAGACCTCTGCTGAATGCGACGGCTTGTAGCACTGCGTTCTGTGGGGGAGGCTCTACCTGCTTGAAACAGGCGCCAAAAGCAGCCGGGATCTGCTGCATGGGGGGGAAGGGGGGGGCGACGGCCCGCGCCGATCGGCAAAGCAATGAAGAAGACAACGATCATCAGGGGGGAAAGGGGGATGAAGAAGACAACGATCATCAGGGGGGAAAGGGGGGAAGGCTCCTCAAAGCCTGTTTTGTATTGTTCGCGATAGCGGGCGTGATCTGGGGAGAAGGGGGGGCGGTTCGCCCCCCCTGATCATATCACAGCGGGGGCCGCCGGAAATCCGAGATCCTCGGGGAATCCGCAGGGCATCTTTTTCCAAAGGTGAGCATAGTAGCGTGACGTGATCTGAGGGGGAGATGCCTCTCAATAAAAGGACCCCTAGCCCTTTGAGAGGGGACCTAAGTTAGGAGGGCCAAAACCGTTAGGGGTAGGGGGTCTCTCCTGCGGATGTATCAAACCAAACCACCCAGAATTATGATCCCTAATGCAGCGACGGGGACCTCAGTGAGGCCTCGTCTTCACTCTGTTATTAGGGCTGGGTGGTCTTTTATCCTCGATGAGGAAAGGGCCGATCACGGCCGTTATCGCCCAGACCTTAAAAACAAAGAGGCTCTCATAGAAACAAGGGCACTCCTAGGAACCCCCCTCTGCGCGTGGCCGACTGGCGGGTGAAGGCCGCGGCGGCGGTCGGGATCTACTGACCCAGGCAAGTCCACACTCGGGACAGTCAGGCCTTGCGAGATCCTTCAAAACCCTGCAGGATCCTGCAGGATCCTGCACGCTGACCCGGGTCAGTGCACCCCTGGCCCTGCGGGATCCTGCAAGCTCCAGCGCTCTAGCTGTGAGACCCCCGTTTGCACTGACACCCGTCCCTTGAGCCCCGAGGCATGGCCTTGGAGAGCTTGCCAGTGTCGGTGCCGTCCTCGGTGATCCGCCGACCCCGTCCGACACGGGAGTGCTGGGGGTGCGTCGAGCGCGGGGCCCTGCCTGACCGGCCCTGGGCGGCGGTGCCTCTCCCCTGCCGGACCCTCTCGCGCCGAAAAAAAAAAGAAAAACGGCGGGAGGCTCTCGGTATTTTTTCCGGCGGGCCTCCAAATGAGGAGGCCTCCAACGGAGGAGGAGGAGGAGGAGGAGGAGGAGGAGGAGACGCTGTGAAAAAATCACGAGGAGGGTGTCTGGGTCCTCCGCTGATCCCCTTCGTCTGCATTACAGAAAGCCAGGCCTAATGTGGATCGAGTCGCGAGATCGGATCAGATCGGGTCACAAACCTATGGCCACGACTGGCCCAAAAACCAAAAGCAACGCCCGATCCAAATTGCCGCAGTCGCCAAAAGCCCTCTGCCAGAGACCCCCAACGACATCATATGCGCGAGAGAGCAGCAACGCTGCGGCTACCGCACTCAATCCTCTCTCTTTATATCTCTCTTGCCCGACACCCCAGTAGGAGGATGACTCTCCATCGTCAGGAGTGGACTGGAACGGCGTCAGCCTCACTGATAAATTGCGTCACCACCTGAGACCACACTGCACTATTGGCCCTGTCTCCCTGTCTCCCAGTCTCCCTGTCTCCCCGTCTCCCCGTGCTCCCCGTCTCCTCCTCCTCCTACTCCTCCTCCTCCTCGTCCTCCTCCTCCTGCTCTTCCGTTGCATGGTGATCCTCATCCTCCAGATGCTTGGCCTCCCCCTACTCCTACGCCGCCTGCGGCCTCCCCCCTTTCCCACGTGTTGGTCTCCCTTCTCCTGCTTCGGATGTTGCCAGACGGGTCCCTGGCCCAAGGTGCCCCCAGGATCTCCAGGGAGGCCCCCTACGGGCCTCCAGAGTTCCCCTCACGAGGCGCAGGGGGCGCCAGGGGCGCTGGAAGGGAGCGAAAAGCTGGGGGCACCCTGGGCAAGGACCACGTCTAGCACCACCGGGCTGCTGCTGCTGCTCATGCAACTCCTGCTCGTGCCCCCTGCTCCTCCGCCCGCTCCGTCGACCTCCGTTCCCCACTGCCTCGGCGTCCTCCCCCTCGCCCTCCCCCTCCTCCCCCCTCCTCCTCCCCGCCGCGCATCCCCTCCTCCTCCTCCTCCTCCTCCTCCTCCTCCTCCTCCTCCTCCTCCTCCTCCTCCTCCTCCTCCTCTTCCACTTCCTCCACCTCCTCCTCATCATCATCAAGCACCAGCAGCAGCATCAGCAGCATCAGCAGCAGCATTCGAATCAGCAGCAATAGCATCATCATCATCA